TAAGCGTTATACCAAAATCTGCGTCAGAAAGCCGAGCGAGAAAAATGTTACCTAGTTGCGTAGGAGTTTAAAATGTTATTCTCAGGGCGGCTGCAGTCGTGAGTAAGACCAATTTTCTCACTGTTAGGTTAAGGGATTGCCCCAACAGCTTTTAAAATTGTACTTTTTTTGCTATGATCACATAGTTTCGACTTGTACATTAGCTCGGCAGGAATCTACTGTACATTACGGGGAGACTGATGTAAAGTCGAGCAAAGTCATTGAATATCCCTAGGCGAATTAGCATGTGCATCAGTGCTGTGGGTGAGGATGGATACAATTAGGGACAATACGCAAATATTGGGGACATTCCCCGGACATTCTAACGGCCTATGGAAGCGACTACAATTAGGCCACTGACATCCTGTGGGGGAGTTGAACTGCCGGCAAATGGTTGGGGCTTTTTGTTGCGAGCTATTTTCTGCTAGCAATTTTTTATGGTGCTGGTTGGGAAGAACCCAAAGTTCGGCGTTTGATGAGAAAGCGAGTATGAAAAAGTTGAGAGTCGCTTCCCCACCGAAAACCGTATTTGTGCTGCATACACGACCACTGGCTCTTCAAAAGCTCAGTTACGATGAATAATCGGAAATAATAGAGGTGCCCGACAGTTTTCCAGTTGTTGCCAGTTCATGCATTATTCTCGAGTTTGCGGCTACCCACATAGATAACGTGACATTTTCTAGCTTTACTTTGGCTTTGTTCGCTCTTATTATGATGCGAGCCCCACCCGTGTCACCAATCTCATGCTCGTCTTCGGGGCTCGCTAATGTATTTACACTAACAAGGTCTGGTATTGAAAGGAGCTTCCCACCTCTTTTGCTAGCGGCTGCTTTGGACGTAGCTGGCAAGGTGCTCTTGGTCGCTCCCAATGTCAGTAAAGGGTCGTCCAATTCGCCTACTCCTTCTATCTTTTTGATACTTTCGTCAAGCCCCTCATCTACACCATTACTGAATACTTCCCTCCATTTACTGAATACTTTTGTAGCATATAAACTCAGACCCTGAATATGTAGCCCCTGCACTAATTGATATCCCTGATGATTGGAGGATACTTGAAATACCTCTTCATGTTGTTACACATTTCCTTTCTAAGCTTAAGAGGACTGCTTGTGACCCGGATGAGCTCCCATACTGGTTTTTTGGGGATTTTGCCCATGATCTTGCCCCTGCTGTTGCCGATGTGTTTAACAGCTCGCTGCAACAACATAAAGTTCCATCCTCTTGGAAGATGGAACAAATCAAGCCTCTACCAAAGGAGTCTCCACTGACTAGCTGTACCCAGCTTCGACCAATTTCTTTGACTTTTGTTATCATGAGACGTTTTGATCGATTGGTCTATAGGTATGAACTTTCTAGTATTTGCAATGATTATATCGATTTAGATCAGTTTGCCTATCGTGAAGGCCATAACTCTGACTATGGCATTAATTAAGTGTCAACATGCATAGCCTGCGTAGCATGGCGGTTTTGTCGAGCCGGGCGCACGAGCGGCGAAGCCGCGAAATTCGCGCGCGAAGCGCGCGAGAACGAGCGGCGAAGCCGCGAGAAAAATAAAAACAAGTTGTCCTTGTCCTTCCGATTGGAGATGTTAATACATTTAGTATAACAAGTGTCTACATTAACTCAGGTGTAGATTCAGTCTAACAAAGCATCTGGATCTGGTAAATGATCTTCAAAATCAGTATAATCACACAAAAGCAATTCTTCCAGTCCAGTAATGAACTCTTCACAGAAACTGTTTGTTGGATCAGTTAAGCTTGACTCATCAATGTCATTGAATATTTCATTTAAGATTTCCAGAATTTTAAGAGGATGTTTTTTTGAAAAAACAGGCACAGTGGTAGTTATGTCCTCGAGAGTAAACAATTTGTGACAGTTTGCCACACAGTCAGAAACTAGCTCCTTTGAAAAGCCATGGCAATACCCAAATGCACTGCAGGAATGACTCTCCTGCAACTCACAGAGAGCAGCATTCAAAGTACTCCTCTCCTCATCACTTACATTTCTGCATTTGGTCTGTACTATTGTGGATAAAGCTGATTTCCTCTCAAATGGCTTGACTGATTCGGTGCAACCATTTGAACCACCACAAACACAGGAAACTGCACAAAAGTTACAGCAGGCATGATATGGAGACAAACTTGCAATCTTTGGATCAAATGTCTTGTAGCTTGCTATACGGTAGCAACCACTTGTTTTCAAAAAGTCACGCACATCTTCCTCACAGTGTGCCAACTGCTGACCATAAAAATATAATACGATGTCTGAAGACAGGCCATCTCTTCCAGCCCTACCTGCTTCTTGATGAAAATCAAGAAGGCTTCTCGCAGGACCATACATTACAACATAACGAACATCAGGAAAATTTACTCCCATACTCAGGGCTGTAGTAGCAATGGCAATACGCTTTAGTCCATTGTTTTTAAATGAATTCAATAACCTGTCTTTGTACTCTTTATGAGAAAGTGACTGAAATATGGCAATCAAACAATTTTTGGGCTGCCGTGATGAGCTTGGATGGAAAGCTTTTTCTCCAAGTGACATCATCAGGCAGTTGAAAACACTCGCAATGGAGTACATGGTGTCACAGAACACAATGATTTTGGGAGTTTCCTTGCCATTTGTCTTTATCATTTCAACAATCCAATCCAGTTGCTTTAGCATATCAAGTCTTCCCACTTTGTTGATGGATAGTCGCAGATTGCATCTGTTTGGGCTGACAAACAATTTGACAGGATCCTTCATGGCAAGCTCTTTGATAACTGTCTTCTCAGTTTCCTTATCTGCAGTCCCAGTGAGAGCCAGCAAGGGAATTCCTACAATAAAACAGAATAATAATTAATATATTACAATACTAACTACAGGACAAAGGACTGAAGTCTTGTGGCGAGTTCGAGAAGCTTAAGGTTTACAGGGTACATATGAAATTGGTCAAATTTTCAAGTAGGTTTTCTGTTGCAATAATTTATTTCATCATTTAAATAAGCAATTGGTTGTTGTACATGAAATGATCGCACGAATAAGTCTACAACTTTCTTACACTTAAATCATTGCCCTTATGAAGCCCTTAAGTGTAGCAGGTTTTCATTTATATGTTACACTGTATTATTCTTTTTCTGTTTTGGCCGCATGCATGTGAATGAATACCATTACACAAGGACAAACTTTAAACATCTGATACCAGAATTTAAAAATACGACCGATCGAGGGTAAAATTATAAAGCAGGTTCATAAAATACCGGCTAACATGATGATGAGGTTGTGTAGGTTTTCATAATAGTTTTCTTGCATATCTGCTGTATTGTTTCTGATTGTTTGACGTAGTGTAAAAGATGCGAACGACACCATGTAACTTAAATTATTTTCTTACCGTCTTTGCACATTGACCGAAGAATAGCTAACTTTCCATACGCTCCACGGAACACTTGAACAGGTTTCGCACCTTTGCTTTGCTTTCTAGCCAAAAAATGAAAGGATTGACAAAATATAAGCTTATGAGAGACCACGAACTATATTGCAAACAAACATGAGACTCACAAGGACGCCGACGTAAACAAGAATCTCACCTTTTTCCTGTCCAAGCTTCAACTGTGTGCGATTCGTCGACCACAATCGCCGACACGGCTCGATGTAGAGCACTGTTTTCTTTTAAAGCGGCAAGGAATGCCTTTTCTAACACCGTCTCAGCGGAGCAGTAGAGAAATTGAGGTGGACTCTCTCGAACCACATTCAGTGCTTCCGTCGTAAGTTCCATTGCCGTGCAGTTCAGCGACAACATTTCGGATATCTGGTCGTCTATAATACTTTTCAAAGGGGCAATGACAATCACACACGTTTTCGATGAAGAGATTTGTTCTTTGGCAAGAGCGAAGACAGTATATATCATGCTCTTGCCAAAACCTGTTGGCAAAATTGCCATGACGTCTCTCCCGTTAAGAAGATTGTTAATGGCCGTTTCCTGCTCTGGCTTTAAGACAACTGCACCATTTTCCCGACGAATATTCAAGAGCGACAACGCTCTAGTTAATGCTTCTGCCGACGCTTCTGCCATATTTTGATTTTGTTTCGACGCGAAGATTTGTTCAGTCTCTCGAAACTCTCCCAAGGGAATTTACCAAACTATTTGATTGACGGGCGAGCATTCTGAACCAATCGGAACGATCCGTACGCTGGCATACGGACCGACTCAAAAAAGCCCCCCATCCGTGCAGGCGGTTTTTCAGTTGCTCCCGCCCCAATCTCCTCGCGGTTTTTCTGCCCTCGCCCGCCTTTATTACTTAGCAACCAAAACCGCCATGCTACGCAGGCTACAACATGCATGGTTAAAGTGGCTGGATGGTAATGACGATTTTGTCAGGATTTTTTCCTTGGACTTTAGTAAGGCCTTCGACTCTGTATCACACAATATTCTCTGTAGTAAATTGAAGCAAGTTAAAATCAATCCATGTATTATTAATTGGCTTATTAGTTTCTTAGCTCAGATAAAGTAGAGAGTTGTTGTCGATGGCTACCGTATTAAATAATTATGTTTCTATAAATAGGGGTGTTTCTCAAGGTTTTGAGTTCGACAAGTTTGCTTCACAAAACATTGCTAACAAATCTGGGGACGTGTAAACCAACCTTTTATACTTTTTGTACATCACATCTGAGGTGAAACAGTACCACGAGGCGCCGTTTTCATCGTACACACCTCGGACAGAATGCAGTATTTCACAGTTTTGAAATACAAATTGCACTCATTCAATATTCAGGACGATCGAAGCACGCGTGGGCTTTTAGCGAAACCGCTAAAAAATTTTCAAAAATCACCTGTACGGCCAGCCGGTTACGAGCTGCGGCGCTTTAACATAATAAAGAATTTATCATGTTTATTTTTTATTTAGCGGTTTTAGAACGATGTGTAATTGAGAGCATGATATGATGTGATTCGTGCTGTTGTATGCCTTGTTCACAAACTCGCTTATGAACAAATTGAAAGGGAGAGAATATCGTCTGAAGGGACTAGATCAAAGAGAACAATTATTCACCGAAGTAGTGCTCACTTACCGAGCCACGAAGCGTCTAGGTAAATAGCCAATCACCCCTAGCCACCGACACTGAGGTGAATAATTGGTTTAGTATATACTGAAGGCGTTTGTTTAGATCTTGCGGGGAGTTTCTTCAAAAAGAGTTGTATGAATTCTTTTCGTATTTGAAACCATTCTGTAAAAAAAGCTATTAAATTTAGTTTTAAGCTTACATGTGAACATGTCAGCTTAATAATTTAACGCAACACTTAATGTGCAATTGTAAACAAAAAACTATTTCACGGGTTTCATCGATAATTCAAGTCAAACAAACCAAGCTTTCAATAATGTTAAAAATTCCAAATCGAATTTCGTAACCTTCGTGTAATTGGGAAACAGCTTGTTTGATTACCTGTGTTATGTTACTACATGAGAAATTTCTGCAATTTGATTGGCTTAAGGCAGTGGTATTTCGGTTTAATTTGAAATACCTGCATGTGAAAATTAAAAACCTTTTGCGGGTTGTAGTACAAACAAATAATAGTGACTTTAAGATTCAACAACGCGACGGCAACGAGAACGTCGCTTAAAAAGTGAATTTGCGTTCCTTCAGTCTTTATAGCGATTATTCCTACCCACTTATTTTGTCAAAAGAAGGCGAACCCTCCTGAAGCTGAATTTCAAGGGACTATATCTAAGCTCAGAAAGAGAAATAAAATTTCTCTTAGCTTTTTAGTTTAGCTTTTTAGTTATTTCGGGTGTCCTACTACTGTATGTTCTGTTTATTTATAATTATATTCCGGTAAATTCTTTTAGTTGTCTACAGTATTACACTGAGAAATAAACTGTTGTTGTTGTTGTTGTTGTCGCTGCTTGTTTAAGTCCTCTATAAAACGCAAAATTAGGCATTTTAACGTCGTAGTCGTGCAAAAACAGGAACGAAATGTACAAAAAAGCGTGATTCACGTACGAAGTAGTTTGGTTTATTAAACCAATTGTTTTTTGACGTTCTCGTTGCCGTCCGCGTCGTTGGATCTTAAAGTCCCTAATACCATGGTTTGTACGTGATATTTGGCATAAATACCACTCGTGATATTTCAAAATTGCCTCAAATTTCACTCGCCTAACAGCTCGTGAAATTACGTATAACAATTTAGGAATATCACTCGTGGTATTTATGCCAAATATCACTACAAATCATGCTATTACCTATACAAATTTCTTTGTTTGTTACGGAAGGAAAGAGGGAAGCCATTTTGCTCGTAACTTACGCAGTTTGGCGTCGCTCGCTCGGAGAAGCTAGAGGTGAATCAGTGAACAGCACTGGATATCCGGAGTTTGCAGCCAACCAAAGCGCGCAAAAAAACACTTTTCAATGTTTTAGTATACTCCCTTTACAAAGAACACCGGAGGAAAATCACAGAGGAATGACCTTAACGTCAACAAATTATGAACACTGCGCCAAAGCGGTAGTTTAATGCACTGTACTCAAACTGGTAAATGCATTGGTTATTCAGGAGGTCAATAATTTACTTTTTTGTAGTGACTAACTACATGGATAACAGGTTCCTACTTACAGGTACGTGGTTAACTATGGTTGTCTAATTTATGTCCAAAGTGAGTTTCCTGTGCAGTTCTTCCAAAAAACACAGGAAGACTCCGTCAATTTTCCAAAGAGTGTTTCCTCTCGCAGTATTAAAGAACACAGGAAGACTCTGTCAATTTTTCAACAAGTGTTTCCTTTTGCAGTATCAAAGAACATAGGAAGACTACGATAATTTTTTTATACATGTCATTCTAATGCTTTGTAATGACTCTACCATGACTACTCATGCAAAAGAACAGCTAAAATTAACAATAATTAGTTTATGAAGGGGAATTAAAGAAAAGAATTATAAATCTTCAAAGCAAAAAACGCTTTCAATGAACTGGGATAAAATTAATCTTTAAACAAAATGCAAAAACGATAAATTCCGCTTGGTATGCGCCACCAACTATGTGGAACGAACGAACTGAAGGCCTTACATGTGTTATTCAAAAGTGCAACAAATTTGTTACCCCAAAAAAGTCGCTAGAATGTGTATATGTAATATATAATTATCTTCCATCTCGGAGATAGTAAGACTCTATGCAACTACTTTGACTTTGAAAATTGACTTGTGTTTCCAAACGTTTTGGGCTCCTGCGCTTCCTGCCTTCATATAATGCCCAAATATGGTAAGTCATTGCTAGTTCGACTTGTGATCAATAATGATGAGCAAGGCAGCTTTGATTATAGCTAAAATGATCAAGAAATTCCAACTTTCCAACGTGTCGTATCATTGAGGACTGTGATTAGAGACCTTTAGATTCTTAGAGAAGGACGACTACGATACCAAGACTTTCCCAAAACCAAGAAGTACTCGAGCGTGAACCCGCGTCATTTTGGCGGGAAAACGTGATAATCGTTGTCATTCTACTACCGATTTCGGCGAAAATCTCCTAGTAGCGGAAGCAAATTACCAAATGCTCGAAGTTTTATCATTTTTGCAATCGTGAGAGATCTTAACCTCCTTCAGTAAAAATAACCGTGTTAACTTTTCTGGTAGAAAACGACAGTAAACCCCGGTTAATATATAAGGACATTAACACCAAGAGGACATACAATATAGTGTCCGTATTAAGCGGCCTCGCAGAAAATAAGCCACGAAGACATGATTTATTGATGACTAAAGCAGACAAAGAGAAAGAAGGGTAAAAAAATTCACTGCAGCAAAAAGCCAAGAAGTGAAATGTGTGTAGCGAGAGGCCAAACTTTATTAAAGTGTTTTAATTGTGCTACCTATTTAAGCAATAAAATTGTGTTAACTCAAGGAAATCTGAAATAATTTGAACAGTCAGTTTACGATGTCTGCAATAAGCACATTATTATGGCAAGAAAATAGACAGTGCGCTGGTAACCAGAGTCCGTAAAGTGGGGTTGAAGATACATGAGAGTTTGAGACTCGTCCGTATTAACCAGTGTCCACATTAAGCCGGNAATTCCAACTTTCCAACGTGTCGTATCATTGAGGACTGTGATTAGAGACCTTTAGATTCTTAGAGAAGGACGACTACGATACCAAGACTTTCCCAAAACCAAGAAGTACTCGAGCGTGAACCCGCGTCATTTTGGCGGGAAAACGTGATAATCGTTGTCATTTTACTACCGATTTCGGCGAAAATCTCCTAGTAGCGGAAGCAAATTACCAAATGCTCGAAGTTTTATCATTTTTGCAATCGTGAGAGATCTTAACCTCCTTCAGTAAAAATAACCGTGTTAACTTTTCTGGTAGAAAACGACAGTAAACCCCGGTTAATATATAAGGACATTAACACCAAGAGGACATACAATATAGTGTCCGTATTAAGCGGCCTCGCAGAAAATAAGCCACGAAGACATGATTTATTGATGACTAAAGCAGACAAAGAGAAAGAAGGGTAAAAAAATTCACTGCAGCAAAAAGCCAAGAAGTGAAATGTGTGTAGCGAGAGGCCAAACTTTATTAAAGTGTTTTAATTGTGCTACCTATTTAAGCAATAAAATTGTGTTAACTCAAGGAAATCTGAAATAATTTGAACAGTCAGTTTACGATGTCTGCAATAAGCACATTATTATGGCAAGAAAATAGACAGTGCGCTGGTAACCAGAGTCCGTAAAGTGGGGTTGAAGATACATGAGAGTTTGAGACTCGTCCGTATTAACCAGTGTCCACATTAAGCGGGTTAAATTTAGTTCGTACAGCACCCAGACGATCAAACTCAACCTACTTTTGAAATGACTCCTGGGTTCAACCTTTCACAAAGAAGAAATACTTACTGGAAATAAAACTATCATAATTATTAATTTAGGTAACAACGTAATTTAAGAAATAACTTGCTATCTTATGGTTAGACACTACGTAAAAAGCTCTATCAATATAAACGAAGGGCAGCACCCCAGACCAAAAGAGAAAATCAAGCTTATTTCCGAAACTCGTCCTATGTCACATAAAAATTTCAAAAATACTATTTTAAATGTTGATATGCAAGGTTACTAAGGAAGGTTTTATTCCTAATTGAATACTTCGACTCCCACGAGGGCATAAGGCAACGTAGTATAAACTATTATCACGCGAAACAGCAGGTTTTACGGCGTGAAGTTAGCATAAATAGCTGCGTTTTGGCCAAACCAAGCACTTTATCATTGAAAGGCAAGGAGAGGAGGAATAGTATCTTTACTCGTTAAGGTAGAACACAACACATAAGAGGCGATTCTTTCTCAATTTACTCATTGTCCTTTGGCCTTGTAAGTATGCCTTGAAGGAAATTTAATAGTCTCTATTCTTTCCACATTTTTATCACAAGATCTACAAGATGAAGATTTATTCTATAATACTTATTGGCGCTGCATTTTTGGTGTTCGCGTTCCCAGCTGGAAAGAGGTAAGATATGAAAAATGGTTTACCGTGAATTACAGTCCGGCGCAAAAACTTACTTAAGTCATTTCGTATTTGACCTGTTCAAGTAATTTTATATGCCGTTAGAAACTTTTGAAAGTTTGGACCGATTTACTTTTACCGGATTCTTTTTAAAGAGCATGTACGTAGAATACAAGCTCGCGCATATTTTCCTTTTTTTAGTATAAAAAGAGAAGTGATTTATTTCTATAACAGTATTGAAATATATTTAAGTTTTTAGGTTTAAACTTATCTGTAGTTTCAAATAAAGCGTTTATACACGTTTATACTTGTTTAAGCGTCGAATTTAAGGCTCGCCATATTGAAATGAATAAAATGCAGTACACCATTGGGGTCTAATTTAGCTATCTTATTAGTAAGGGCAAATACATTCCAGTTTTCCGGAGCCGACTTGGACTAAGGGGCTCAAAGGACTGAGTCCGAAATTAAGCTGAAATAGACATTTCCTAGCGATGTTTTGGATCAAAGTGCGCTTAAAAGGCTCTAGAAAAGGTTGAATCAAATTGATGATTTTTTTTTGTCTACAGAACTAAATCAGCATTTAAAGGTTGAAACAGATCTTTTATTAAACGCAAAAGCTGACAAAATGTAAAATGTTACTTTAATAATTTCTTAGTCAAGACTTTGAAGATGCTCAGCATATAGAAGAAGATATGGCTGCCCAGCCCCCTTTTATTTATCGTCCTTATCGTCGTCAAGCCATAAATAACAGACAATTTGGTTTTAATCTTGGTATCGGCGACAAAGACAATGGAGTTAATGTCGGCGTCGATAAAGACAAGGGTGTCGATGTTGGCGTTACAGTTGGTGGCAAGAAGATAGGTATTGGAGCTGGGAAAACAGGCGCGAATGTCCAAGTTCCTTTGTAAGTTTCTCGGATCTTGTTTAATTGATATCTATGCAAATGATTATCAATCAATGGTCTGCCCAACTCTTCTTATCTGTCATTCAAAATATTCCGCCGTTTCACTGATTGGGTTAAATGGCCCCAGCTACTTTTTCACAGCCAGCTGGCCTTCAAAGATGGGAACAATGCATCATCAATACGATTAATAAAAAAAACTCAGAGAAAAGTGAGGAATTCGCTAAAGTTAATTTCAAGTTGTTTATCTGAGTCTCCAAGGTCTAAAAAAAGGAAAGGTGCGGGGCGTTATTGGAACTATGATTGCTTTTTTACGGGCTTTTTACTGCCTGTGGTACGCCCAGTCATAAATTCTTTTACGTCGCTCGTCTCCGTCAAAAAGCAGTGTTAAATTATTTGATTTTGCTTTCGTTACAAGTATCCTTTAGAATAAACGACAAAGTTTGCCTTTAATCGCGAATTATCACAGAAACAGGTTGATTACTTTGAACTCACCACAGTAAGAACTACCTGATAAGTGGGCTTTTAAGGTAACTACATTTAAATAATGATAACTGTTTTTCTTTTTAGTTGGAAGTAAAAAAACAAGTCAAGCAAGGCCAGAACAAGCATATAGCATAGTGAAAGTAAAATAAATGATTTTAAGCCGACTTAACCTGAAGTTCAGAGGCTTTTAACTATGAACTAAATAAAGTAGAATTGAAATAAATAAAAATGTAAGTAAGTCAATTGCTGCATTTTAAAAATTGCTTGGCAAATCAATAAAAGATGGTTGATTAGCAAGTCTGTTTATTGTATATCTAGGGGAGGAGAAGTGCTGGTGCATGAGAAAGATTTATAAGGGGTTCCAAGAAAACATGGGGATCTGTCCAGATCATATTCCTCAACCGGATCAAATGACCCATGCGGATCAAATTTCTAAATTCCATGATTCATTGTCTTATCCATCTTTTGAATTACGACAGTTTTGGGATCACACCATCCGGGACACCAAAACACTGCCCTAAATTAAGACTGGCCGGTTTCTTAGACCGTGTGGAGCAAGATTATCTGCAGAGGCAGGTGCAGGAAGAGCGCGGGACGAAGGCGCGAAAATAGTGGGAGGAAACCAATGGAGACGTTTATTTATCAGCAAGCGGCAGAAGTATCTTTCTTTGATTAGTTTGTATGAACGCAAGTGCTTCCTCCTTTGGAGCTCGTACGTCACATCGTTGACCATACTACCTAATTAACTCGTTGTAAACTATTTCCCACTTGCGTTCGCTATCAGCTGTGATTAGAAAGTCGTTGAGATAAGCTCATACAGTTCGAAATCCACGCCGAGTCATCATTCTGGTTGTAGAATGTGTTCCCCTGTGAAACATTTCCGGTGATTTAAGGCACCAAATGGCAGTTTACAGTAGCACGTGTAACTTGTGTGATTCCTTCCGCTAAATTTCCAAGCGATTCCTATAGCGTTGTAATTAGAAGGGCGAATGGGTACATGACGATAAGCACTCCTAAGGTCTATCTTTGCAAGATATGCGTTAGGCTTGATAAGCGATACCGCTTTGTCACGAGTTACGTAAGAAAAATGTTACCTAGTTGCGTTGGAGTTTAAATTGTTATTCTAAGGGCGGCTGCAGTCGTGAATAAGACGAATTTTGTCACCGTAAGTTTTGGGGATGACCCCACAGCGCTTACAATTGTTGTTTTTTTTTTATGTGAACACAAAGTCTCGTCTTGTACATTAGCTCGCTAGGTATCTACTGCACATTACTAGGGGACTGATGTAAGGTCGAGCAAAAGTCATTGAATATCCCTAAGCGAATTAGCATGTGCATACTGTGGGTGAGGCTAGATACAATTAGGCACAATACGCAAACATCGGAAGCGACAATTAGGCCACTGACATCCTGTGGCGGAGTTGAACTGCCGGCAAATGGGTGGAGGTGCTTGTTGCGAGCGATTTCCTGCTAGGAATTTTGGCGGTGCTGGTTGGGAAGAACCCAAAGTTCGGCGTTTGATGACAAAGCGAGTATGCAAAAGTTGAGAGTCGCTTCCCCACCGAAAACGGTATTTATGCTGCAACTTTCATTGTCATACACGACCACTGACAAGGTGTGGATTTCGAAAAGCTCAGCAAACTTGACCGTGTACGATAAATAATCGGAAATACTAGAAGTGCCCGATAGTTTTCCTGTTGTTACCAGCTCCTGCATTATTCTCGAGTTTGCGGCTATTCACATAGGTAACGTGACATTTTCTAGCCTCACTTCGGCTTTGTTCGCCCTTATTATGATGCGAGCCCCACCCGTGTCACCAATCTCATGTTCGTCTTCAGGGCTCGCTAATGTACTAACACTAACAAGGTTTGGTATTGAAAGGGGCTTCCCACCTCTTTTGCTAGCGGCTGCTTTGGACGTGGCCGGCATGGTGCTCTTGGTCGCTCCCAGCGCCAGTAAAGGGTCTTCCAATGCGCTTATTCCTTCTATCTTTTCGAGAATTCCGTCGAGCCCTCCATCTTTCACAAGAGACTTAGCTGTTACGGGTGTAAAATCTGCGCCCTCTAGCTTCAAGGTAGTGGCCCCAGGCCCAGGGCCCAATCGCTTTGGCTAAGAGTTTTCATTAGACTCTGTGACCAGGACTAGAGCCTCGCTGGAGTCGAGGTCCTGCTTTGACAGGATTTCTACTGTCTCTTTCTTTAGACCATTGTTGTAGCATCAGAATTCAAACGTTGCCATTATGCAAAAAAATAAAATACAGACGCTTACACCTGCTGCTCGCTATAGCTGTAGTTCGCTCAGACCAACACAATGTCCGTTCAACTTGTGGTCGGCGCGGTTTAATATACAATAAATGGAAGGGCTTGGATAGTATTTCCGCCTATCGTTTTTAATAAAAACTAAAGAAGTGGGCTATCACTTAACTTAGCGCCTTGAAGCTCTTATTTTTCTTGCTTAGTTATGTGTCAGCCTGTTCAAAGTCCTTCACTTCAAATTTCATACAAAAATGGTACGTTCATTTTTGTGCTTTATTCAATCACGAGTCTGTTGTTTTGTAATTCAAGCTACAAAATAAGATAAGGGACACGGGCGGTTAACTCGTACTTCGCCTTACCTAATTATAGTATCTTTTATTAACAGGGTTGCAATAAATCAAGAATTACCTAAAAATTAAAAGTCTCGCAGAGTAAAAAAACAACAAAAGGTTGGCGAGTAAAAAATGGCAATTAGCTTTAAGTCATCCAACATAATTTTCACTGAATGACACCCGGCCATACATTGATATATTAATCCTTTTCTACACAGATGATTGTAGCTGACTTCAGTCAAGAAGAGAGACTGAGAAAAAGACTATCTTCGGAATTCAATTTCAAAAAATGTAACCTAACTAATTACGATGAATTCTTCAAGCCTAAAGCAATTGAAATAATATCAGCATAATTTAGCACTTTTCCATTGTTTCTGACCAGCAAAGTCAACCCAATATTTTGATTTTTATTTTAAGCGAAACTGGCGTAGAACTCTGTCTATTTTCGACTTGAGAACCTACAGACAAAGAAGAAGAAGAAAAAAAAGAAAACAGTTAAACAAAGTAAAATTCGGAAGGCTATTATTAGACAGGATAACAATTTCATGAGTGACCATGTAAGGAATATAAAAACGTTTGGGCTAAACCGTATACAGACGTTGAAAACCCGACATTCGAAATCACTTTTGAAGGGGACGAAACTCCTTTCCTGTGGACGGTTCCTAACGAGCAACTGAGGAACTGCAAATCAGCTAGGTGAAGCTTGACCTTTGGTTGGTCCACATGAATTTACCGTAAATCCTCTATTAAGCCCCCCCCTCTCAAATAAGCCCCCTCCCTCTAATAAGCCCCCCCCTTTTCAGAGGAAGAAGGTTAATAAGCCCCCCCTCTCTATTAAGCTCCCCTCCCCGCCCCTATTTATTTTTCACTAATAAATGATAGCCTGTATCAATCAACCACGACTGTAAAACTTTGTGTGGACTGATCCAGGATGGTTTATTTACCAACTGGAAGATCGGATTTGATTCTGATCATCAGCTGCATGGCCTAAAACTTCCTGTACTTGAGCTTTTCCACGTTGCAATCTGGTTCTTTATGGAGAACTGATACCATTGTCGTTTTTAAATTAAATAAGCCCCCCTTCTAAAATAAGCCCCCCGTCTCTATAAAGCCCCCCCTCAAATGGGCTTGAAATAAATAAGCCCCCCGGGGGGCTTAATAGAGGATTTACGGTAAGTTAAAACAGCAGTTTCCCAGTCAGTTATGTCCCGACAAATGAAAGCCAGCAGATGGATAATGCCAAAGACCCCACTAGAACTGTAACGAAACGTGCAAAACCAAACAGTCTTTGAATAACTCTAGGAAAGTTTAATCCAATCCCCTCAGCTCTGTTAATCCAGAACTCCAAACATGAACGAAAAAAATACTAGCGGAGTAAAACTGCGCTAAATTGAGTACCAATCTTAGGAAAGAAAAACAAATTACTATCGTTTTCCTGCACAACGAATAAAACAAAACCTAGTAAAATTTCGGCGGTCTACCGTCCTTCCTACCTCAAGGTCTGTCTTGTTGGTGGAAGCGATCTCAAGTTCTTGAGCCGCAGGATCAATGATTTTTTTCGCATCCTAAGAAAAACAGAGAATCAAAATCATAAAGGAAACGGAACTGTTCCAAAAACAAGCGTTTTAGAGAGTCTTTTAGAGATTTCTAAGTGTTTGTGATAACCAGTTATAAGACGACAATTATAACTAGTTCTGCAATTCGGTGTGTCAGTGACACGTAAAAGCAAGCTATACTACCACCACCAGTACCAACACATTTTAGTGGTGCCCTCCACCACCACCACAAGTTTATTGCTTCCCTTCATCACCACCATTACCATTACCAGCGCAACCACAACCTTCTANACGAATAAAACAAAACCTAGTAAAATTTCGGCGGTCTACCGTCCTTCCTACCTCAAGGTCTGTCTTGTTGGTGGAAGCGATCTCAAGTTCTTGAGCCGCAGGATCAATGATTTTTTTCGCATCCTAAGAAAAACAGAGAATCAAAATCATAAAGGAAACGGAACTGTTCCAAAAACAAGCGTTTTAGAGAGTCTTTTAGAGATTTCTAAGTGTTTGTGATAACCAGTTATAAGACGACAATTATAACTAGTTCTGCAATTCGGTGTGTCAGTGACACGTAAAAGCAAGCTATACTACCACCACCAGTACCAACACATTTTAGTGGTGCCCTCCACCACCACCACAAGTTTATTGCTTCCCTTCATCACCACCATTACCATTACCAGCGCAACCACAACCTTCTATTGTTTCCCTCCACGACCACGACTATACCACGTTTCTATTGCTACCCACCACTACCACACACCACCACGACCACAACATTTCTATCGTTTCCCTCCACCACCACCACATTTCTATTGTTACCCTCCTCCACCACCAAGACCACATTTCTACGTCTCCCTCCACCACCATTATATTACCACCACATTTCTATTGTTGTCCCCCCACTTCCTCCACCTAAACTTTATCGACCCTTCATCGACCTTTCGTTTCAACACTGTGCAGCTTATTAGATTTGGATGAGAATTTTGAGTGACAGCAATAAAAAATGTTCC